TGTGCTGACAGCTCGGAGCCTGGAGCTTGCTTCCGATTCTGTGTGTGTGTCTCTCTCTCTGCCCCTCCCCTGCTCATGCTCTCTCTCTGTCTTAAAAATGAATAAACATAAAAAAAACTGGTTTGAGTGGTATATTTTATGTTAGGCGTATTTTCCCACAATTCAAAAATTTTACTTTTTTGTTGTTGTTGTTTATTTAAGCAATCTCTACACCCAACGTGGAGCTCGAACTCGGGGCCCTGAGATCAAGAGGCACATGCTCCTCTGAGCCAGCCAGGTGGCCCTAAGACTTTTCTTAAAGAGTTTATTTACATATTTATTTTTAAAGTTTCATTTGTATTTATTTTGTGAGAAAGAGAGAGAGAGAGAGAGACATTGAGCACGGAGTGGGGGGGTGGGGAGAGGTCGAGAGAGAATGCCAAGCAGGTTCCCGGTATGGGCACAGAGCCCGACACGGGGCTCGAACCCACGAACCGTGAGATCGTGACCTGAGCTGAAATCAAGAGTCGGGTGCTTAACAGACAGAGAAACCCAGGCACCCTGGCCCTAAAACTTTTAATAAAAAAAAGAAGAAAAGAAAAGAAAAGAAAAGAAAAGAAAAGAAAAGAAAAGAAAAGAAAAGAAAGAAAAGGGTGTGCCCGGGTGCCTCAGTCGGTTAAGCATCCGACTTCAGCTCAGATCATGATCCCACTGCTCGTGGGTTCGAGCCCCGCATCGGGCTCTGGGCTGACAGTTCACAGCTCAGAGCCTGCTTCAGATTTCGTCTCCATCCCTCTGGCCCTCCCCCACTCAAGAGTGCGCTCTCTCTCTCTCTCTGTCTCTCTAAATATAAATTAACATGAAAAACAAAGAAGAAGAAGGAGAAGAAGCATCGGCCAGCAAGGTGGTGTAGCTGAGTACCTAGTACGACTGTATAAGCCCCCATCGTGAACAACCGTAAAATTGGACAGAATACCCTAAGCCATGGTTTTCAGACATTGAACCACAAGCAGCAGAAGCCTGTGGTCCCCAAGACCCAGGGAGAGACCGGGACAGGGTGAGTCCGCCCTTTGCCACCGCCCACCTTTTTCCTGGGGACGGCCCCCCAAATGCCAGCAAAGCCCTGAGGTCCTGCTGAGCGGAGGTCAGCCTTCGGGGGCGGCAGAAACGGCTGGAGGCGGTGTGGCAGGGTGCCACAGAGGCACTCCCCCCCCCCCCCCCCCCCCCCCCCCCCCGACCCAGCCTCTCCTCGCCCGGGCCTCAGTTTCCTCATCTGTAGAGGGGGATAACCACACTACCCACCTCATAGCATCATTACGGGAGTTCAAGAAGTTAAAATACGCAAAGCATCAAAACCTTTATACGGCGCATGCTGAGAGCCACGTATCTTCCGTTCGGGTCAGTAAAGACGTGCCGAGCGTAGTTAGACGCTGGGTGTTTGGTGTTAGGGGCCCGGAATGCATCTGCCAAAGCCAGGACCTGGGTCGGGTCGTGCTGTGCATGCTTCCGGCGGGGTCCACGGCGCCTTCACTCTTCCGGTGTGGTGTGCATCCACAGCCTTAAAGCGGTCCTGCCCTTTGCCTCGGTAATTCTGCTAATGGCAAAGTAGCCTGAACAAAATACTCCTAAATACAAAAAGTTCTTTGATTGGTTTAGTCATTGATACAGAAATTTGGGGGTTTTTAAAAAAATTTTTTAATGTTTTATTTATTTTTGAGAGAGA